TTTTCACATTCCTTGCCCTATGTAGCTCTTCCATCTGGCTGTCCATCTGTATCTGTTGTCATATCCCTTATAATAAATGAATAAAGGTAAGTAAAATGTTTCCCTGAGTCCTATGAGTGGCTCTAGCAAATTAATTCAACCTGAGGGGGGGTTTATAGGAATTCTGATTTATAGCCAATCAGAAGCACAGGTCACAACCTAGGGTTTGCAATTAAAATCTGAAGTGTGTAGGGGGGCAGTCTTGTGGAACTGAGCCCTTAATCTGTGGGATTTGATGCTATCTCCAGGTAGATGCTGTTAGAATTGAATGAGATTATTAATACCCAATTGGTATCCACTTGGTGTCTAGGGGTCTGGTATCAAAAGTGTTAGGCTGGGTGTTGTATTGAATGTGTGAGAGTAGGAAAAACACTTTGGGTTCTTTCTATATCCTCTATAGTTTCAATATCTCCACATCTGTTGTCTTTTTTTTTTATTATAGCTTCCTAATGGGTGTGGGGTATTTTACGCTTTGTTTTGTTTTCTTTCTTGTCTTGTTTTCTTAAGAGACAAGTCTCGCTCTGTCACCTAGGCAGAAGTGTAGTGGCATGATTATAGCTCACTGCAGCCTCAAATTCCTGGGCACCAACAATCCTCCTGCCTCAACCTCCGGAGTAGCTCCAAGTACAGGTGTGTACCTAGCTAATAATGTGTGGTTTTGACTTGCATTTCCCTAATGACTAATGACTAACAGTGTTGAACATCTTTACATGTGCTTATTGGCCATTTTTATATCTTGTATATATCCATTCAAATCCTTTGCCCATTTTTAAATTGGGTTTTCTTTTTTATTATTGTTAGAGTTCTTTACATATTCTAGACAGAAGTCTATAATCAAATACATAAATATTTTCTCTCATTCTTTGCAATTTCACTTTCTTTACAGAGTCTTTTGCAGCACAAAAGTTTATAATTTTGATAAAGTCCAATTTATCTAGTTTTTTTTTTGTCTCTTATGTTTTTGGTGTTATTTTTAAGAAACCATTACCTAACCTAAGGTCAAGATTTACTCCTATTTGTTCTGTAAGTTTTAGGATTTTAGCTCTTACATGAAGATCTCTGATTCATTTCGAGCTAGTTTTCATGTATATGAGGTAGGGGTTGAACTTCATGCAGAATATTCACTAATCTAAGCACCATTTGTAGAAAAGACTATTCTTTACCATTGACTTATCTTGGCAACTTTATCAAAAACCAATTGATATGAAGGTTTATTTCTGAACTCTCAATTATATTCATTGATCTATATCTTTATGCCAGTACCACATTTTCTTGATTCCTGTTGCTTTGTGATAAGTGTAAAATCGGAAAGTATGAGTCCTCCAACTTCATTCTTCTTTTTCAAGATTATTTTTGTCCATTATGGATTCTTTGAGTTTTTGTATGAATTTTAGAATCAGGTTGTCAATTTCTGCAAAGGATTTCTGCTAGAATTTTGATGGGGATTATGTGAAATCTATAGATCAGTTTGGGGAATAGTGCCTTCTAACAATACAAAGTCTTCTGATCTATGAACATGATATGTATTTCCATGTATTTAGGTTTTTTAATTTCTTTCAACAATGTTTAGTAGTTTGCAGAGTGTAAGTTTTGTACTTTTTTGATAAATTTATTCATATTTTACTCCTTTTGATACTACTATAAATGGAACTGTTTTCTTGATTTTATTTTTAGATTGTTCATTGTACATTGCTAATATTATTGATTTTTATATATTGATCTTGTATCCTGCAACTTGGTTAAACTGGTTTGTTTGACCAATAGTTTTTCAATGGATTTATTATGATTTTCTAAGGATATAAAAGATCATGTCATCTGCAAAAAGACAATTTCATTTTTTCCTTAAAACCTAGATGCCTTTTATTTCATTTTCTTGCCTAATTTCCCTGGCTAGAGCCTCTAGTATAATGCTGAATAGAAGTGTTGCAAGTAGACATCCTTTTCTAGCTTCTTTTTAGGAATTCACAGATGTATACAGTCTTTTAAGAGCTCTGAAAAGCCATTGTAATAAACTGTTTTCAACTTTGGATAATCAAGCATTTGCCAAACTTATTTGGATATGTATTAATATTCCATAAAGCTTCTATTTTGTGCAACACATTTTTGTAAACATTATTTGATGGACCACAAAATGAGAGAAATTACCTTTCACAGAGAATAAAATTAAAGTTCATAAGGACTCAAAAAATATGAGAACACAAACTGCACACAAACTAAAGTCATTAAATTCTCCATTAAAAAAAAAAGGTTTTGGAGATTAAGAATGCTAATCCATTTAAGTAGTCAAAAAGTCAAGTTATCACATAACTAGCTAAAACAATTCAGGCTTCACTAACATTCTCATCCATAGTGATTTTTAAAAATTGAGATATAAATCACATTACACAAAACTCAGTCTTTTGAAGTACAGTAGTACCCTCTTTTCTTATTGGGGTACATTCCCAAGACCCCACAGTAGATGGCTGAAACCTTGGATAGTACCAAACCCCATATATGCTATTTTTTCCTATACATACATACCTACAATAATGCTTAATTTAGAAATTAGACATGGTAAGAGATTAACAATTAATAATAAAATAAAATAATATACAGTAATAAAAGTTATGTAAATGTGGTCTCTTTCAAAATTATCTTATTGTACTGTACTCACCTAATTTTAGACCACGGTTGACTGTGGGTAACTGAAATTGCAGAAAGCGAAACTACAGATAAGGGGGGATTGCTGTACATAACTCAGTAGTTTTCAATATATTCACACAGTTATGCAACCATCACCATTATCTAATTCCAGAACATTTTCATCACCCCAATATGAATCCCATCCTCATTAGCATCACTCTCATTTTCCCTCACCCCAGCCCCTGGCAACCACTAATATACTGTCTTTATGAATTTGTCCGCTCTGGACATTTTGTATAAATGGAATGTAATATGTGGCCTTTTGCATCTAGATCATTGAGATTTTATGGTTAACATAATCACAGGAATTATAAAAGCAGCCCTAGGATGCAGGGTCTTTTGCTTTGTGTATGCATTTTTATTCTAACTAGGCCATTCCCACTCTGATTACCTCATTCCAATGTAGTTTCTACTTCTGCTATTCTTCCTTTGATATTGATAATATAGAATTTCAATGAGATCTTGAAATATATCTGTGATAAACACCTATGTAAATATCTTTTGTTAGTTTATTTTCTTAGCAGTGACTTTGGAATGTGAACTTTCAAGGAAAAACTATTAGGTTGAGCTTGCCATCCAGGACCCAGAATTTTAAGTTTGATATTCTAATACATATTGCTAACCTTGGGCTAGAGGGGCACCCCAAAGATATCATAAATGCTTGGAATTCAGGTTCTCCTGAGCTAAAACAGCAGATGGACTCACCCAAAGAAGAGTTGGGTAAAAAGGAATAAAAGGAAGACCCAAATAGATATTAATATTAAAGAGATTGCTTAGGAAGAAGACCAGTAAAGAAGACCAAAAAGAAGTTGCCAGAGAGAAGGAAAACCTAAAGGCACCTTCTCACAGAATACAAACTGAGTTCCAAGCAAGTAAGAATACAATTCATGCAAGAGCCAGAAAGTGGAAAGGGTAGGGGAGGAAAGGAAGTATTTAGGTGGTTCACTTTATTGATGTTGTTAGGATTTTTAACATAAAATAGATTTCTTCCACAAAGTAGGACACTACTTGACTATTTACTTCTGAAGTAGAAAAGAAAATATACTTGAAAGAATTTCCAAATGTTAGAAAATTATTTTCATTCAGAATTTATCTACTGCAATTATTTCCCTAAGATTCTAAGGGAATCAAAAGACATGAGCTGTGACCTTGGCTCTATCACTATTTGACTAGAGAAAACTACAGTATTCTTTTGGGTCTTCAATTTCCTAATCTCTAAAATAAGGAAGTGGATCAGATAATTCCTAAGGCTTCCTTCAGTTCTGATTTCCTAAGATTTTATATAAGGTAGTTAAATAAAAACTTATTTAAGGAATGAATACTGTAAGATATTAAAAAAATTAATACAAGGAAGAGACCTTGATAAGTCAAAGGAAAAAATTATCAACTCAAATAAATAGAAATTTGAGAAATAAAATTCCTGCATCCATTTAAAGTAAAAATAGCTGTCAGCCTCTAGTTGGTAAATGCATTATCAAAATTAGAATTTTTTTCTAGCAGTAACATTTACTGGGGAACAGTAGGAATTTATTTTTTAGAAAAGTAAGACTATAACATCTGAAAAACAGACCAACGGGAAGAATAAGACACTTGTTCATCTGTATTTTTGTGACTTTTCTCACTTGTTATTATTTACAACTGTACTTTTATGTCTGGCAGCAATGCCAACTGCAGTATGAATCATATATTATTTTTATCATGTTGATTACATATGTTCACCAGTTTAGTTGTCCATACATGCTTGGTGTGGTTTGCAAATATTCAGTGACAAAATCCAGAGCACAGCATTTTCACAGAAAGTGTTTACTGTGAAATTTCTCTTTAGAAGTTTGTTTTTCTTTACAGCTTTGATCCATATGACATCCACATTCCTACATTTCAAATAATGGCTTACACTTAAATTAATAAAATGCTTCACTTTGATACAACATGACTACAGTAGGATGAAGTGGGTCTAGAGAGGACCTCGTTTTCTGATGTGATTAGAGATTTGGTCAAATTTGAAGTTTGCTAAAATTTTCCAAACTATGCTTCTTCAGTTTTATGGTGACTTGGTACTTACATTCTGTTATTCATCAACACTTCACAGAAATACTTGATTTGTCTGAATGAATTTAAAAACCCACAACTGAAGAAAATCAGAAAAACTTGGTTTTAAATATCAAAAGAGCCTGAATGAAAAATATTTCTACAGGCCACACTAAGTAAGTTTTATTGGTCACTGTATTTCTTTGCAGGATGAAATTGTTGCAAGATTGAATATAAGAAAATAAACCTACTGGTAAATATCTTTCCTGAGGACAGATCTGCCAAGCGGATTGTCAGCTTGGGGAGCCATGGCAACAGAGCCAATCTTCAAAACCATGGTGTCTTCTTTTGCTGCCTGATTAACTGTAACAAAAGAGAGAGATCTATGAATACACTGTGGATGTGTGCATAACTTTATGCGTAAGAAGAAATCTTTGAAGGACTGCAATAGAGACATGTTAAGATAAGACCAATAAATGAGGAAAAGTAAAAGGAAAAAGATATGTTTAAAATAAGAACATCTGATGCTTTTCTTAACTCTTTATTTCCTTCATATCCCATTAAGTGGTTTTCTGTTAAAACATACAATCAAAACAGCAATGAAAAACAACTGTTCCACTCCTAACATTAAAACATATGATATTAAATATATATAAGTAATACTGAGGTCATATGTTTATCTACTTTCACAATCTGTATCTTTCTCCCAAGTGATTTTCAGCCCTGGGTTTTTAATACTCCATTGTTATCTACAAATATATTTAAGGATATTACAGTAACAAGTTCTGAAAGCCACTTAAATTTACATGATTAATAAACACACACACACACACACACAGTATAGCACTTTAAGCTCTAAAATGCCAGAAAATCCCAAAGAAATATGATGGCTACAATAATGAAGATGGAAAAGACCAACTATTTAATATGAGAGAACAAATAAACTTTTTATCCTAGGCACTTTTTAATTTTAATAATTTCTACTGTGAATTTCCTTAAAAATAGTAAATCCACACTTGTTTAAAAGCCTATCTCTTTAAAAAATTTTTTTTTTTATTTCAGCATATTACTGGGGTGCAAATGTATAGGTTACATATATTGCCTTTGCCCCACCTGAGTCAGAGCTTCAAGTGTGTCTATCCCCCAGACGGTGCACACCGCACCCATTAGGTGTGTATATACCCTTCCCCCCCCTCCCCTCCCATCTGCCCGACCTCTTAATGAAGTCTAAAACTAAGGTAAGTAATCACAGAAAACAAAAAAAGATAAAAAGATGTATCAGTTCTAATTCTTTTCCTTGCATTGAATAAGACAATATTTAACCATATGTTCTCATCTTATGAAGTTCAACTCTTTTTCTATAACTCACTGGCTAATTCAACATTTTTTCTAAGGACTATTTGGGATGGACAGGGGTTCTTAATGACCCCATTCATTAAATTTTACTCTCTAGTTTCCAACAGATGATTCTACTATAAGAGCTGTGTAAATAGTGTTTAAAATTTTTTTTTTTTTTTTTTTTTTTGAGACAGAGTCTCATTCTTTTGCCCGGGATAGAGTGAGTGCCGTGGTGTCAGCCTAGCTCACAGCAACCTCAAACTCCTGGGGTCAAGTGATCCTTCTGCCTCAGCCTTCCGAGTAGCTGGTATTACAGGCATGCGCCACCATGCCTGGCAAATTTTTTCTATATATTTTTAGTTGTCTGATTAATTTCTTTCTATTTTTAGTAGAAACGGGGTATCGCTCTTGCTCAGGCTGGTTTCGAACTCCTGAGCTCAAACAATCCGCCTGCCTCAGCCTCCAAAAGTGTAAAATTGTTTAAAAATTGTTAACAAGATACAACTTTCTGCGTTTTGAAGTAAACATATACTAAAACTCACAATTTCTCTCAAAGAACTATCATCCGCCACAAATAGAAAAGGACTGGCTGCAAGTCTTCAGGAATATCCTGCACAGAACATGCCTACAGAGGCATACAATCCATATTTCCCAATCTGTGGTGCCCAAAGAATGCAAAAGCTATGAGATTATTTCCAGCTGCTTTAGCAGTACACTTGGTATGATCTGATTTAGATTAATCCAAAAAAGGAAAGTCACAATTAAGAAAATCAGAAATAAGAAGAAGATATTTAGTGAGGGAAAGAAGGAGCCAGAATAAGATGACCATAAAGGGAATGGAGGAAGGCGAAATGGTAGGGAGGTGGGAGGAGGGAAGATAGCAAAGGGGGAAAAAAGAGAGGAGCTATCATCCTAAATATTAGTTTGTAGATGCCACAGAGAAGACAATACTTTTAAATGTCTACAGCAAAAAAGATCAAATAGAAAACTACTTCTCATGCAGCTGTACTATTTTCAAATGACTATAGGTCTAGCTTGATTATAGGTCCTTATACTATGAACATGTTTACATTTCACAGATCTTGTATTTTATGTCAAGCTTATCAGATAGCTCCATGTGGGTAAAACCTCTGATTAAGCAGCAGGCATCAATTAAATCAATAAATAGTAAGCCTGGAGAATAGACTATACCACAAAAGTGCAATTAGTGTACTTGCTAACTGTTCTTCCAGGCTACAGATACTAACCAGCATATGAAAGTCTGAAATGTAATAGAAGCACTGCAGTAAATGAGGTACATATGGAAGAAAAATGACGTACTTGGTGTTACATACAAAGCCAGACCCAAGAACAGAATTCTGTTTCTCATAGAGCCAAAAGTGCTCTCAGTAGATTATGCTATGAAGTTATAATTAAAAAAGCACTTAATGTAGATCATTCATAAACTAGATTAAAACAATTAATTTTATTATAGAAAGTATTTAGATTATCAAAATACATCATTGAGATATAAGAAAAAGAATAAAAATATGCTCTTACACAAGAAAGTGCCTTGAGTCATTTCTTCAGTTACTTTATAGCTGGAAAAAAAAAATCTTCCCTTTTTTGGTTTACTTCACCTGCATTTAATAGTTGGACCATAAGAGGAAATGTTCCCTCTAGAAGCATTTTCAATGTGAAAATGAATACCTTCTTTCTTTGCCTTGATTCTATTTTTAAAAACAGCCTCATGAGGAACTATTCATTCTAGAAGACTTACACTAGGTCCAAAAAACAGTCCTCTTTTCTGAAATAAAAAGCTTAAGCTGGAAGTCAAACACCTGTAGATTCAGAATCTTGATAACTGCACATAATGCAAACAATATTGAGGTTGAAAATCAGACTTTCAATATTGCTTCCCCAAATACTAGAATGTTAAATGTATGTTTTCTTATCATCAACTGAATTTTAGACATGATTAAAAAGTTTTACATTAATATAAAATGAATTATAAGTCTGAAAGACTTTGTCTTTTCTTGGGGCAAGAGAGTGTGTATATGCACGTACGCAGATACACGAATGTGCGTGTGTGTATGGCATATGAAAAGGCTATAAACAACTTTGAAATCATAAGCTTGTATCAGTAACCAAAAGCTTGAATAAAGAGCAGAATTTTCATGCAATTGTCAGATAATGTAACACTGCTGCTTATGATTATATTTTCTTAAGTCCAACATATGAAATAAAAGTGTTTTGAAGAGTTCAACTTCCTTTAATATTCTCAATATAAATTCAATATAGTAAAACATCTAAACTCTCAAGAGTATTTGAAATTGCCATTGTTTAATGTGATACTTTTATAAAGCCAAACTGTTGTGACAGTCCTACACAAAGTCATCAACCAAAGTTTTTAATTAGATATTGCCATAATGGCACTTGAAGACAGAAAGAAGTTTCAATGAATGTGTACCCTAATGACCACTGTGCATATTAATACAAAGTTTAGTTGCATTTGGTTTATGAATCATCTTTAACACAGATTGCTCTGTGATAGGCATATATTGCTATAGGCATAGATTGCTTTGTAATATTTTTATAATAAAGTTTCTGCTGAGAAGTATGATATAGCAACATTTAATTATGCTATCATACTCATTAAGACAGCTTACATATATATTTTCAATTTAATTACTCAGATAAAAATATTATTCAAACAGATTTTTAAAGACTTTCTAGAATAAAATCAATGCTATGCTTTTAGCAAATACTGTATGATTCCACCTATATAAAATTTCTAGAATAGGGAAATTTGTAGTGACAGAAAATAGATTAGAGGTTACCAGGGCTGGGGGGAGTTATTACTTAATGGGTACAGAGCTATTGTCTGGGGTGAAAAAAACATTTGGAAATAGATAGTAGTGATGGTTGCACAACATTGTGAAAATAATAAATGCCATTGAATTATATATTTAAAAATGGCTAAAGTGGAAAATATTGTTATATTTATTTTACCACACACAAAAAAAAGTTTTCAAATCAATGATGGAGACGTTTTATAGTTACAGGCAAACTCTGCGTCAGGAGGAAACACGGATTACTATAAGATCCTTTCAGTGATGACCACCTAAGGGCTATGACCAACACTGACATGGACGGTGAAAACAAGTCAGTCACACGGGTTTCTCTCACAGATGTGCTTACAAAAATTTCACTCAAAGGAGCTCTGCAATGAAGATGTAACTGAAATGAAAAAGCAATTCACTGTGAAAATGTCCTCTCCATTAACAAATACCAACAACTTTCAGAAGCATTCAGTATATCAAATAGATAAAATATTTTAAGATGAATTAGCAAATTTTGAATACACATCAAATGCCTACTTTGAGAGACAGATATGTCTGATTCAAGAAGATATACCAGTGTAAACACTATTCGATACCTATTTTAAAAGTCTTAGCCTGGCTGGCTCATGCTGAAAAATCAACATACTGATATTGTTTTATATTCTTGGTCAAGTTTTAAAACTTAATAAATGGGCAATGAAGTATATGCACTGGTTATTTTTAAAATTTATATTTGTGA